AATAACGATGTTGCGAACTGCACGGCGACATCTTGACTCGTTGTGGATCGATCGAGATCTATATGCGAACGACGAAGGCTAATTCGGCCATTGATGAACGGCGAATTCTCAACGGTGTTGAGTAGATGGCTTCTAAGCGAAGAATGGGGCGAATTCTGCGCGACGAGTACACATATTGCGCTTCTGCGGCTCATGCGCGCACACGTAACAAATAGGAATATATACAGGCAAGGCAAAACGGATATGTACAGGGTATTTTCATTAAAGGAAAAACGAAAGGATATTTTATTCTAGTTTGGGGACGCAACAATCGAAAATTTTGCATACCTATATTTTTTTGTATACATTTAAGTTTTTAATAAATACTTTAATTAAAGATGAACATGTTATTATTAGTTATAATATAAAACTCATTAATATTTTATGAGATGAAATGGCATACTTAAGTTACTATTTTTTATTTTGATCAAAAAATAACTTAACATTGACGTCTTCTACCCCTGTTTATTTGATTGTACTGCCATGGTACTGTTCCATCATCACTAACCAAATATTCTGCTAACTGGTCCCTCTGGTTATATATAATTCTTGGTGCATTTGCTCCTAATCTGCCCAATGAATTGAGATTTGTATAATTTTTAGTCGTCTCTCTCCATTCGCCTTCTGTGATTTCACCATTATCATCTTCATTGTTCACCAGACTTTGGAACATAAGAATTCGAAATTTCGGTCTTTAGGAAATTATGTAAGCATACTGTTGCTTTTACTATAGATTCAGTTGTTTTTACTGAGCATAAAAGTGGAGAACGAAAAACTTTCCACCTGCTGGCCAATATACCAAAGGCATTTTCTATTGTTCTGCGAGCTCTAGATAGGCGATAATTAAAAATTAATTTCTTATCACTTAACAATTTGCCTGGATATAGCCTCATAATGTATGATTTTAATGGAAAGGCTTCATCCCCGACGAAAAAGTATGGCATTACTGTCTCACTACCAGGTAGTTTACTTGCTGCTGGTAACTTAACAATTCCTTCATTTAAATCTTTGCCCATTTTGGACCTTCTAAATATTCCAGAATCGTGTTCAGATCCCCAGGCCCCAATATCAACCCAAATAAACTTGTAATCGGCATCACAACAAGCAAGCAGTACGATAGGGAAATTCCACTTATTAAAAAAATTTTCACTTATACTCATCCAATCAGTCTCACTAGGTGATTTTAAGTAAATTGGCTGCAAAGTTTCCCATATCGCTTCACAAGTTTCATATATTACCTTGGATACCGTAGAATGTCCTACGCGAAACTCCCAACCCAAGTTTTGAAAAGAACCCCCATGTGCCAAACATTTTAGTGTCATTGCCAATCTTAATTTTGGAATAAGGAACACCCTCCTACTACGTTTTAATAATTTATGTTTGATCATTTCGAGTAACATATCGAAACATGCTGGAGTCATTCTTGTATATTTGAAAAACATCTCATGATCCGATGTGTACATGTGATTGAAAATATTGTAACGGAAACGCTCCAGACATGACGTCGCCCACGTTATTCGTTCAGAACTGTCAATTCCTTGTATATTTCATTCTTTACTGTCTGTACACGATGAGCAAGGTATTGTCAGAATCTTTAATAGTACACTGGTAGAGTTTCAAGTCTAATTCAAAGTTCTTTTGTTCCTAAAATTTGTTATTCGTCAGAATCAGTAACTGAATCACTAGCTGGGGTCAATGCAAGTCCAATAGAAATCCTAGGTAAGTTTAAGAGTGTTATAAAAATTGCTGATATGTCTTTTGATGTTAATTTATGTGTGGTACCTGACAAAACTATGAGTCATGGAATGTTGCTAGGTAGGGATTTTATTAAATCATCCAATGCGGAGATAACTGTCGGACCCATGGGTGTTCAAATCAAAAGAGGAAATCTCTCATGTGTTAAAGATGATGCTTTAGAAATTTTGAATATTAACTATATTTCAGAAACCGAATTGGAATCTCGCAGTTTAAAAATTAATCCCGAAATCGATAAAGACTCAAAACTTAAAATAGTGTCACTTGATAGAGATTATGAGACACACTTTGATAATTTAAGTACCGATGATGACTTTGAAATGACAATTTCCCTTAAGCACGATCAACCCATAACCTTTAGACTACGGAGACTTTCATTTTCTGAGAAAGAAAAACCTCAGTTAACTTTAAATCAGTTAATAGAGGAGGGAATTATTCGTCCTAGTCAATCTCCTTATGCTAGTCCGATCGTATTAATTCGCAAGCGTGATGGGG